TTTGTTTTTCTGACACCGTATTTACAATTGCATTACATGTTTTCAAATTGGATGCAACGCCAGATTTTAAAATGATCCGAATTCTCGTTTGGGACAGCAAGGAACTAGTAAACCATTAATTTTGTATGCACCACGGACGTTACCCGAGGTTTCCGTCATCAGGCGATTTCTAACCCCTCAAGCACACCGGGTTTGGAAGTCGCCCTCGGAGCAAAAACACACTTCTTAACGCCCTAGATACATAAATAATTACCTCGGTGCTAAACACACAACCATCACGATTTAAGTAAGTTGTTGCATGGTAGTATGTTTAGTGCAATTCACACCAGGTGAACCATCCGTTTCGTATTCTCTCTAAAAAAAAATAGAATAACAGTTTGCTATATTGTTAACCCATCCCTTTTTCAAAATGTGTGCAAGTGTGTAAAAATGTCGCATAACAATAAAAAGAGAAAATGTTGTCGAGAAATGGAAAACAATTAAAATGCTGTCGATTTAACTTATTTTATTAATTCTTTTCTTCAGAAACATTTCTGCACTTTGCTGGTCAGCTGGTCGCTTTTTGCTTTAAAAGTAGGATGAAAGAAAAAATATGAAAAAGAGGAAGTTTTACAATATAGCAACTGATTGTAAGTATTGATAAGATATACAAAATTCCCCAGAAAGAACATATGTGAGTACATGCATGTATTTTATGTTTTTAGTGAGGATTGTTTCTTATTTTTAGTAATACAGTGAGAAGTTTGGGGCGGGAACCCTAATAAGAAAACATATTTTTAGTGAGAACGTGAATGAGGATGACCAGATTACCAGATGATATATGTAAATTGGGGACCTACCCTGACCAGGGAATACGTAAATTGCGAACCGACTACCTCATCCCCTTCCAGGTAAAAGTGGAAGGTGACACTTCATTTTCCGAGAACATTTTCATAACCATTATTTTTAAAACACAACTTTCTTTCCAATTTCCTAGACTTGCGATGGCTGGATTATTCCTTCGAAATATGGTTTGGTTAAATTTGGTTTTCGTTCAATTGAATCATTTGTTGATTGAATGAATTCTGCTTATCTTGACATTTTAATATTCTTCCTTTTTCTCTGCTAATTTTCTAGAACGCTGAATATTAAATCTGAACCCTCTTATCGTTACTTTGTCGGTAACGCATCTGCAGAAGAGAAAAAGCTATGTAATGCTGCGCGAAAAAAAAAAACCGGCGAATTTTCGGTAGAAAAACTCTTACTACGTAACACAAATGTTAATAAATCCAGTTGCTAAACGTAAAGAAAAATATCCTCTAACACGCGGTATAGCCAGAATCCATAATATGTGGATCCTTGATTCCGGAAAATCGAATGACGGCAGAACGTATGTTTGTTTGTATGTCTGTATGTTTGTCTGTCCGTCCCTTTGTGAAAAACGCTAAGCTTTTCAGCCGATTTTCTTCAAAATTGATATTCCTCAAATGATCTGACTGATGTGTCGGCCCCTTGAATTTGAAATTGATATATTGATTTTGGAGGTACTTCATATGAAGCCCCTAGGACATTTTCAAACCTATCAAAAAAATGGCTGCAGCGTTTTTTATTAAATTTTGTAGTCGTGTAGTATAAAGAACGCATAAGAGAGTGGTGCAGGTCTCATTTTCGTTGAAAACTTATATTTTTCGAAAATTGAAAAAGTTCAAATTTTTTTCGGTGTCTTCCTACAACTACAATTACGAAGATATTTTCCCTTAATGAAATGTGTACCTTAAAAATTGTTTCTGAAATAAGATCCTGTACAATTTTTCGATAATTTGAGTACATTTCGCGTAATTTTGTGTGAAAGTTACAGGCGAGAAAGTACGTGCTAACACCACTAGTGCTTTCTTTGCTTTTCATTTTGATACAACAGCGAATCCGGAAGCTTTCCAATTAGGCACTAGGAAAAGCGAGACAGCAGTGCGCTCCGTTAAGGCGTTGATCCACTCAAGCAGTCTTTTTGGTGACTTGAATTGGTTTTGTCCCCAATTTAAATGTGGAATTAGAAAGTATATTTCGCGAGAAAAAAGGAGGGGATTATTTATTCCCCAATTTACATGTGAAATTAGAAAGTGTTTCGCGAGAAAAAAGGAAAGGATGAGGGATTATTTGGTCCCCAATTTACATGTGGATTTGAAAGTATGTTTCACGAGAAAAAGGAAGAGATTATTTGGTCCCCAATTTACATACGGCTAGAAGATGGGAGCAAGGCAGAAAGGGAAGGTTAGGGCGGAGGGAGTTACAACAGAATAGATACGAGTAAGCTCCACCGCAGGGCGGAAATAGAATACATCTTTCTGTCTAAAAAATTAGTCTAATAAAAAACGATGACGTCTATTACACTCGTAAAATTAAAACCAATGATATACATATAAAATGTCCCAATCAGGGCGGTGAATCTAAAAAAATGTATCGCTTAATGTTTTCTATCCGATTTTTCTTACAACTTCCTCGCTACTGGTCAATAGTAAGCTGCGACTCATCTACCTTAGAAAGCGGTACGTATCGATCACTGTGTTGACATGCAATAAACCGCGTATGTACTATAACATAACCTCCTTGAGTTTATCATGGTTTCAGTTCTTTCGAAAAACTGGCGCATTTTGGAACTTTGTTGGACGTAACTTAATTCTTGGAAGAGTCATATTAAATACCACTCGTGCTTTGGAAATGCTGAGATGAATCCCCTCCTCGCTTTGATAGTCGGGAGTTTGTTGACAATTTTCAAAGCACTCGTGGTGTTGCCTGTGGTAAATAACGATTCAAAACGGGGTACTTGAGCTAGCAATGTAATGCTGTCTGTTGTCTTTCGAAAGGAATCGAAGACCAAAATGTTGTACTGGAACGGCCGCCGTCAAGGTGCAAATGGAGTTGACAGGTCGAAAGGCACGACGTCGTCCGACTACGTCCCGCTGGCGAATGTTCACGTCATCTACCCGTCCAATCAGACGCCCGTCGCCCAACCGCAGACCCGCCCGCCCAACCGGCAGGGGAAGTCACACGCGTATCAGCAACAGCAGAAAACGGAACGCAAGATCCAGGAGGCCGTGCGCCAGCACGAAAAGCAGATGGAAACCAGGATGCACGACAGCATGCAGCGGCTGGAACGGGAGATGGAAAGCAGGCTGCAGGAGGTCACGAAACAGCAACAAGAAGCGGAGCGAAGGGCCCAGACGGCCCTACGCCTGCAGGAGGAGAGGGCGTCGGCGGCGCTGCGGGATATGGAGCGGAAGCTACAAGAGAAGGACGCCGCCATCCGCTCTTTGCAGCAGCGACTGGAAGAGACCCAGGAGAGAGTGAAGGCCGTGGAGGAGAGAAGGACGGCTCCGGAGGGATCTGGAGGGGGTGTGCAGCGTCTGGAGGGCCGCGTGCAGGAGGTAGAGGCCGCTCTACAACGCGCCACGACGAAGTTCTTTCCGCGGGTGGAAGCTCTGTTGTGCCAGCTGGAGGAGGAGCCAACGTCTCCCACAGTCGCCGCCGCCGCCTCCTCCCCCTCTGCCAAAGCGACGGAGGTGGGCGGGCGGGGCGGGATCCGGCCTGCCCGACCTCCCCGACCTCCCCTTGCCGTCACCCTCCCCCCCAGCCCCCAGAGCGCAGCACCGGCCGACGAGGAAGCGCGCGAACGGCAGCGGGTGGAGCTCCGGGCGCGGGAGGTGGCGGCGAGGGTGCGGAGGGCGAAAACGCCTGCTTCCTCCCTGGGGGAGCAGTTGGGGACGGCGGCTGCCAAGGGGAGCCTGTGCGACGTGCAGCGCCTCGTCGGCTCCGGGGCCGACGTCAACGCCCCTGACGCCGGGGGCTTCTCCCCGCTGCACCGAGCGGTGTATCCTCGCGCTCACGCCGACGTGGTGTCCTTCCTCCTGCGACGGGGCGCCGACGCCAACGCCGTCGACGTCTGCGGCAAGTCCGCGTTGCAGTTGGCCGCGCTGTGCGACCCGACGGGCCGCTGCGTGCACCTGCTCGTCGAGGCCGGCGGCGACGCCAACGCGAGGAACGCGCGCGGAGAAACGCCGTTGCACTGGGCGGCGAAGTACGGCATGAAGCAGGCTGCGCGAGCGCTCCTCGCGGCCGGCGCCAGGAAGGACCTCCGGCCCTGGGACGGGGAGTGGAAGCACAAGACGCCGTTTGACGTCGCCTCGTCCCCCGACCTACGAGACCTTCTTCGTCAGAACGACAATCGTGTGAATCTTGCAGATAAGGAGTGTGACTTAATCGGTTCATTGTGTGATAATATAATATGGGAGGTATAGTTTGAATAAAATCCTATTCGTGCATTATACACCTGCAAACGTTTCACGTGCATTTATAGAAGTAGGTTTAAAAACATATTTACTCCCTCCGCCTCCCACGTACTATCACGAAAACAAAACCGTTTAATTAAATAATCAAAAACTGCAAAGTTCGATAGAGAATTTATTTATCTGAAATTTGATAAGTTTGAAAAGATACACACTCATCTTTGAAATCAAAACAAAGTCATAAAAACTTCAATTGTTTCTCAAAACTTTTCACATTTTTTTAATATATATATTACTATTTAAAATATGTGTGAAACTATAAAGGTGAAATATTTTTTGAATTAGTACTGTGTGCAGTGTCTTAAATTCAGTGAGAGTTCGCGGGCGTATATTTGCTCTCGCTTATCGTAAAGCGTCTTGTATAATGCTCGACTTCCATGCCAGCATCAAATTACAGCAACCTACTTTACTACTATTACTTACTAGCTATTTCAATGTAGAAGTATTCAAGGAACAAACACTACCAAACGCACCCAAAATTAAAGCATAATTGTTGACTAATTATTTGTCGGTTATAGGGTTAATTTAAGTTTCTCAACATTTTAGGAACTGATGGCTTTAGTCTGTAGCTAGCAGTAGTCACTAAGAAAATCAACTACCCATCAATCTAAAATCGACTATTCATCAATCAATACAAAAAGTCGACAATTAATAACTAATTTTAGGTTCTAGTAAAAAAATTCAATCACTATTTTTCAAAACTTCAGGGATGTATAAATTAAAATCACTAACATACAAGTTCACAGGTTAACACATACAAAAACATCATGACAAAGAAAATATCCTAAGAATGATTCAAGGATAATTTTAGGTTAGAGAAAGAATACTCCAGCCCTTCTATTTAAACAAAAATTCCGGTTTGTACAAGTTAAAGATTGTTTGGAGCTAGCAGCACAGTAAGAAAATACATTGCCCTCAATAAAAGTAAAAAAAGTGCTTCAAAATGTAAGACCAATTTCGATGCAAATCACTAACCATATTATATGCATCTAAAGGCTCAAAAATACACATTTTCGTCAATATTTTCAAACATTTGTCAAAATTATGTAATACAAAATATTTAGAGAGGGTTTCGATTAATGCAATTATATACGTTTCGTTTCTGAACAACTTTTTATAGTATCTTTGATTTAAAAAAACTACATTTTTTCAGTATTCTTTTGGGTTTTTAGTTCCAAATATTTTGATAGAAATCAGTCTTTTTAAATCTCATAGAAAATTGTACTTCTTTTTAATATGGAGCCATTATGTATTTTCTATTCAATTGTTGCGTTATGGAACAGCACATTTTTTGATAATCTTGTTAAGTAAAAAACTGCTGCACTGAATAAATATTCCAAAGTCTCTTGGTGCAGTATTTCGTGAAGGCTGTTTGTTAAAATATTTAATTTATTGCAGTGTTTTATTGTTTTTTATTTGTTTTTTCTTGAGCAAAGCGTGTGTTACGTTTTTAAAAACCATTTTGTGTGGTTTTGTCCAGGTGTACTTTTGTTTCTGCGGACCACACATATGCATTTTACGTACTACGTTGTATGATTCTTGTGTTTAATGACAATAAAAACAACTACTTTACATTGCCGACTTTTCGGTCCGCTTAGAACTGTGTTACACGAGAGTTGCGTTGACGCGCGTCACATAACGATGATGCGTCAACGTGCGTTGTGCCCATGGCACAAGCACGACGTCCAAGCTACTTTGTATCTCAAGATAACGCACGTTGTCTAGCTTTCAATGCGTGTCATCCGCTGGTCGACACACGTTGGCAACAACGCACGTCGCATACAGAACTCGCATGTCGTTTCTTATAAGATAGTGTTAATCTACGACGCACGTTATGTGACTCGTGGGTGTATGCATTGACGGACGTCGACGCAGCATCATCAGCATTAGGTGACGCGCGTCACTGCAACGCTCGTTTGACATAGGCCTTATTCTTATCAAAAATCCATTTCCTTAAAATATAGTTAGCAGAATTTTATATATATATATATATATATATATATATATAAAATAATATATATACATGATTACAGGACGTACTTCAAATGACTTTCTGGACCAATGGGAAAACCCGAAAATGACCGAATCTCAAAACATTATTTGGCTTACACTAAGTGTGACACTTAAGTCAGAATACGGTTAATTTTACTTTGAAATGAACATCAAATTCGACTATTATCAAATGGCCATAGCTTCTAGAAATTTCATGCAAAACACTTTTAGTTGATATTCAAAAAAATTAAATTTTGAAATCTCTCCTTTCAAACAATTTAACCGTATAACTGGAATTGTCTAACGTTCGAGTGTCGGGCAGTCGGCGCCATCACTGTTAACAACTCACATTTAAGTCACACGTGAGTCCTTTATTCACTTGTGAGCTGCGTTGAACATGTTTGTAGCAATGTCAGACGGTTTGGGAAGTTACTAGATTTTACAGAAAACTTCGTGGCCTTTTTTAAGCTCATGAGCTAATTGTTTTTCATTGTTTCGGCGCCTCCAATATAATCGCTGCTTGTTGAGCCTTGCGTAGCACCCGGGCCTGCGACCGGTAAAGACACTAAGGACCCCTTCTCATGTAGACACAGCTAGGCGCTTCCGAACACCTCGCCTGGTAGCAAAGCATTGCTTTAAATGGAGGTCTTCTCACGTGCGGCGGATTCGCGCTGCTGTGTCGTTTCGGCGGGCGACGAGCGCCACGAGCAGCCCGGGATTGCGCCCGCGCCCCCGCTAGGAAAGCATTGGTTTAAATGGAAGTCTTCCCGCTGGGACACTCGCCGCTGCGTTGAACCTGCTGCGGTCCCTTTGTTCGTCGTCGGCGAAACCTACCTCCGCAGAACCCTCTCCCTTCCACGGCGTTGCGGCGGTCGCTTGCAACGGAGGGGGCCTTTAGGGCCCCTTTTCACGTAGGTCTTTAGCAGCGCTTTCGCCCTTCCCGCGACCGGGTGACACAGTAAGAAGACTTCTCTGTACTCTGCTAGCAGTGGCTCGTACGCCACAGCTGCGCAAACCCGCCACTCGCGGGGTGGATCTCCATTTAAACCAATGCACGTCTACTAGTTGCGCCATGCCGAAGCGCTCCCGCCGCACGCTGAAGCGCAGCTGCCTGAAAGCGCCTTCAAACGGCGCCTCTCCCCAGCGCTTCCGAGTGGCGGGACCGCTAGCAAAACATTTGATTTAAATGGGGGCATTCACACGAGCGGCGTAGTCGCGCGGCTGTGTGGCTCAGTGGCGAACTCCCGCCACCAGCAGCGCGGAAGCGAGTTCACGCCACTGCTAGCAGAACACATTTCTAAATGGCGGCGATCACAATAGACGCGCCACAGGACCAGGTTTTACCTACTGCCTGTCTTTCGGCCGTCTGAGCCACTGCGGTGTGGCTCACGAAACCTTTTCCTTCGGTGGTCGGCGGTGGCAGTGTGGGAAGGGCTCTGCCGCTTCTCCGTGGCGCCATCGAGGGGCTCCGTGTGAAGGCACTCTAAAGCTACGCGCCATGGGTGGTAACGGAGCGGACGACGGGATGTGACGGGACGGAGAGACGACGGATGGATGGGATGAGAATGCGTGGTGGGATGGGATGGGATGGGGTGGGATAGGATGATGGGATGAGGATTGCCTTGGGATTGGATGGCGGCGACGGGAGGAAGGACGGATGGATGAGATGCGTTGGTGGGGATGGATGGGATGGTGGTAGGATGGATGGATGAGATTGCGTGGGTTGGGGAATGGGTATGTGGTGGATAAGATGAGGGATGGAGGGACGGGACGGGACGGGTGGACGGGCGGTGATGGGATGAGATGCGTGGTGGGGATGTGATGGATGGATGAGATGCGTTGGGTTGGGATAGGGATGAGATGCATTGGGTTTGGATGGGAGGGATGGGACGGACGTTGCGGACGGGGAGGACGGGGCGGGGGTTAGCGGGGCGGGGGCGGGCGGGGCGGGCGGGACGGACCGGGACGCAGAGCGAGTCCTCATCCAGTCACCGACGCGACCCAGTACCGCCCAAGTAGACTGCGAGGCCCGCGCCAGCCCTTCGTCTTGCGACGTCGCCCTCCCCCAGCGACATCACCCGGCGGGCGCGCTTTGAGCGCGAATCCTACCGGACGGCGAAGAGCAACTCTCTACAGCGAGCTACAACGAGGGTCCTGTCCAGAATCTAAGATAGTCGCGCTAGTGGACAAAGAACGGTATTGCTTTATTTCAAAGACATTAACTCTCCATGTAATAGAATGTGTAATTTTGAATAAATGTTTGGCCGCCATTCTGACGGTCATTTAAACCATCAATTGAAAGTGTTTTTATTAATAATTAAAGAGCATGCGCATCATCTTGGCCCGGCAGCGACTCGCCATCTCGAGACATCTAGAGCTGGCGCTGGAGGCAGGTTGGTATCGCGCTCGGCGCCCACATCTAAATAAATTTAGCGCGAGCGACATGACCGTATCCACTTTGTCTCCACGAACATTCACGCGTCTTATTACGCTGTTGAACTCCGGGAGGTTCGGAAGGCTCACGTCACCGGTGCATTCGGACGGGCAGGTTCATCACAGTATATAAATAAATAATACATGCATTGTTTTACGTGTGTGGCCGAGAATAAGAGGGGGAGAGAATGAGAGAATAGGAGAGAGAGAGAAAGAGAGAGAGAGACAAAGAGAGAGTTACGTACTTGCATTGTGGAAACTCGAACACGAGATAGAATTTGTACTTCGTTGTGGAGATGTAAGTGTAAAAGTTCAGCCACATCTCTTTCGACCAGAAGTCTACTCTCAAGCGGAATATCCTTATTTTCACGAACGTGCTCAAGGTCTGCATGAAGTTTAGAGTATTGTACATAGCATTTTCTTCTTCCATTTCACATGATGTCAGCCACGTGAGCACCTCCGCGTCAGATGTCATGTTGTCCATCCTGCGGAAAAAAGGGCATCGAAAAGTTTACATTTATCGATTAATCGATACAAACGTATACTGAATTGCCAAAACTAGTATTTGATACTTTTATAATAATTCCTCTAATTAATATTTTACGAGTCGGTTGCGTATAAAACCTACTCCAGATTGCAACTAGCCTCCTAAGATGCAGATCTAGGGACTATCGGTACCTCTATAATACAATTGTACTTTGCGCAAAATGTGACCTGTTCCTAATAAAGCAATGTCTTACATTTTCCAGCCTTATGAAAGACCCGGGCGTATTGTCAAGTTCATACACAGATTTCTCAACGTCTGATCCTGAGCAGCTATTACAACTGATTTCAATTCTGGCTTCATTCCTCCCATTTTAAGCCACATAAACGATTGATCTTTATTGATCTGCACCGTGTCCATTTCTTTTAGATACGAGTACTGTCCAAGGAGTGGTTTGTCTCTCCACGATTTCTTTAATATTTTTGTCTCACATTTGATGTAAAGTTGGTCCCACAATATTGCACACAGTCCGACAAATGTCGCCGGCTTTGGTGAGTATTCGTAAAACTTGGAGCATGTGTTCGTAACTTGAAGGACGTTGTTAATAATATTATTTTTTATTGCCATGCTACACGATTAACGTATGTAATTTTTCCAGGATCAACTTTTCAGCTGTATCCCTCAGTACGATAAGGTTGTTATGCCTTAAAATGCGAATTATGAGGAAATAGGATGATGATGTTGATGGTGAGGGGTGATGGAATTACCACAAATGCTACCATGTCTATTTCGAACCCGCAACCTTCTCGGCGCAGACGACGGCTGTCACGATCGTCTGTGCTACGGGACCGACTATTATTGTTGTTAATATCATCATCATCATCAATATCAATATCAATATCGTTATCGTGTTCGTTATCGTTATCGTTTTCGTTATTATTATTATTATTATTATTATTATTATTATTGTTATTATTATTGTTATTGTTGTTGTTGTTATTGTTACTTAGGGGCGTGCTCGCCCGTCGGCTGCTTCCAGCCCGCCTCCGGGACCCGCGCGCCCGCCCTGGGCACCACCCGCCCCACGGCCAAGGGCACGTCCGAGTGCAGGCGGTACGTCATCGTCCAGTTGAAGAGCCAGTTATCCCACGAGGCCACCGATTTCGGATACTGCACCATCAGGAAGACGTACCTGCGAAAGGCGCCCGCGCGTGGTGCTCTGCGTACAAGCACACCGCAGTGACAAGCGATTCTCTCTCTCTCTCTCTTTCTCTTTCTCTCTCTCTCTCTCTCTCTCTCTCTCTCTCTCTCTCTCTCTTTCTCTCTTTCTCTCTCTCTCTCTCTCTCTCAGTAATACGCGCAGCCGGCTCGTGGTTCATCAAATGATGCCACTGCGGCGCCTCTGACCGCAAGCTCCGAGGGGTCGAGTCCGGTCACTAGCAGTTGGGATTTTCGACGCTAGCTAGACACGCACCGGCTGCCTCGAAGAGAATTGTGGGCGGTCGGCTTCTCGGGTCAGTAGGGTTCCGTGGTTTCCCCGATCAACACCAGGCAAATACCATAACAAAGGGGCCACCGACCGCTCGCGATTTTTCCTTTCTGTTCCTCGTCCTGTTTTCACACATGCACTACACTAGCGCCCTTGTCGGGAGACAAGTCGGAAGCTTCGAGCTTGTCCCGGTGGCGGCGCTACTCCGCGGTGATACAGGTGGGGAATAACTGCAATCCGAGGTCATAGGTCGGCGTCGAATCTTAACAATCAGGGAGGTAAGATCACCGCCACCTCTCGCAATAAAAGCATACACTACATTTTCGGAACTAATGACCTCAGCGGTTGAGGCGCCCGAAATCACTAATTAGTCAATCAACTCATACGGTAGCTCTGGCTGCAACTTATTTGTTGCGTGGACAGGCAAGAGGTGAAAGAAGTTGGTTGGCTTGGGTCGTTTGCGTTTTGAACGTTTGAGCCGGGACCGTTAGTGTTCTTCTCAGAGTGATCTTCCGAGTCAGAAGAAAAAAAAAATCCTGTGTAAACTAATATCAACAGCAAGTAGCAGAAAAAAATACTCACCAAGATACAAAAAAACTTCAAATAATTTATAAATATTACAGAACTTTACTCGAGCCTTGTCATCAAAAGTGATTCAGACACAAGACATATAAAGACTATTGAAATTCCGAACATTCCCATAAAAAAATAATGCAAGTTCAAAAGAAAATCGCGAAATAATAAGAAACGACTGGAAAAATACTATGATTACCACAAAATGACACACTGCATACTGAAATAAACGGTTTGTTAGGATACTGCTCCGGCATTCGTTAGGTGTTGATCAGAGAAACCACGAACAGCTACCGATGAGAACAGCCGGTTAGTATAGAATTCTCCTCGTCACAGCGATGGAATTTGAACTAGTCGTTTCGCTAGTGTTCAAAAATCCCGCCCATTGTCGCCTCGGCACTGCAGCCGTAGAACCTCCCGCGAGCAGCCTCCGTGTAACAGACCTTTGGAAGCAGCTCCGTCGGATGGGACCTTCGGCGGGGTACGGGCTGTTGGCGGCGTCGCTCATGTCGAAGACGACGGCGTCGAACGCCTCGGGCGGCACGGCCGTCGGCGCCACCGCCACGAAGCAGTCGCGCGGCGCGCACGCGATCAGCCCCGACACGCCCTCCTCGTTGGTCCACTCGGGCGCGAACAACCAACGCGTGTTCCACAGCAGGATGGACTTGGCCGCCTCCTCGCGCGCGCTGCACTTCTGCGCAACGCAGCGCCGCCGGTGGCCGTGGATTTTTAAGGCGAAACAAATCCTTCGTACGCCTTCCTCCGGAGGGGAAGTGAGGCCGGCGGTCCCATGTTAGTAGATACACTTGCATGTAAAAGATCAAGCCCAAATGACGCCTCTGAGTTAAATTCAAATCGCCCGTTTCGTCGCTCAAGAACCCGATCGAAGACGAGGATTTTTAAGGCGAAAAAATCGTTGGTACGCCTTCCTTCGGAGGGGAAGTAAAGCCGGCGGTCCCATGTTAGTAAATTTTCATGCATGGAAAAGATCCTCAAGCCCAAATGACGCCTCTGAGTTAAATTCAAATCGCCCGTTTCGTCGCTCAAGGACCCGATCGAAGCTGTGGATTTTTAAGGCAAAATAATCCTTCGTACGCCTTCCTTCGGAGGGGAAGTAAAGCCGGCGGTTCCATGTTAGTAGATTTTCATGCATGTAAAAGATCCTCAAAGCTAAATGACGGCTCTGAGCTAAATTCAAATCCCCTGTTTCGTCAGCCAAGAAATACCTCCTTCCTCCGCTAGTTGGTGAAAGGAGCGTAGCGAAATTTGCGCGGTGTGATAGAAGAGCGAGCCTGATGGCCCGAGTCTCGCTCACGTAAAATAAGGCATTAATTCAATTCAATTCAATGCAATTCAATTCAATGTACACGCAGAGGCGTTTTGCAACGGCGGATTCGCTCATGGAATTATTTTGTTTTTTTTTTTAGCGAGTCAACTGATATGGCCATTAGCACCTGTACCTGTGATGAGTGTTTTATCCCTGAAGGGGACAGAACTTGAACTTCCCCGCTGGACGGTGAGATCCAAACATTGCGTCGGTTTGCGAGGGTTTCTCCAACCAGGTATCTCCCATCAGCAAGGATATGCTCTAAACACCCGACTTGTCTACCGGCGTGTGTGTTACGTGCGAGTGTCGACGCAAGGAGTGAGGAAAGCAAAATTAAAGATCACGCGCGGTCCGTGGCCCGCTTGTTAGGATACGGCTCCGGCATTCGCCTGCTCTTTATCGAGGAAAACAAAATCACTGAAGATTACCGATCAGAGCAGCCGGCCGCTAGAATTCTCCTCCAGACAGCGGCTGAATTCAACCTAGCTAATCTAGTGTCGGTAATCTTGCCACTGTCGGGATTCGAACACTTGGACCTTCCGATCAGAGAAACTGCGATGTCATCGACTGACACCCTCAACAGCCTTGGCAGGGATAACGTCAAATTATTCAGCTGTTTTTTGACACAAATACTCCGGATGACCGGGAACAAACAACTTTACCCTCCTTCAAAGTCCTACCGATCTCACATATCACCGATTGCTTGTGTTGTGTCGCAGACAGAAGCCTGGAATATCACAAAACGTAAAACATCAACTGTGCAATTCAGACGCGACGACAGTTCAGATGTCACATTTCCGCAGTGTTGCCAACATTCAATTAAATGTACTATATTGCATGGTGTTCATATTATTTTGTCCAACGTTTGTAAATAATGATCTGAATTATTCTAGAAGAGGCAGTTATGTAACTGCAAGTTATCAATTCAATGTTATATTTTGAATGATAAAATTAAAGCAACAAAGTCCGTACCAACTATTTTTAACGTCCGCTGTAAGCATCTTTAATGTCCCCTGCTATCACCACGCGGTTGATTCGCTGCTAGATAGAGGCCATCGTCCTCATTGCATGTTTGCCTTAACAACAAAAAAAATAGGTATGTTTTTCCCACGGTTTGGAACTTACTTCGTAATCGCAGACAGATCCGTATTCGTCGTCTTGAGGACACCTTGAGTATGCCTTGGGTCTCTTGGTCTTTCGGCGCCTTGATAGTAGTACTGGTGGGTTCTGAATATTCATTCGGTGCAGAAATATCAAGTTGGAGCCGTACTCCTCTGGCGTGACCAAATTTCCAGGGCGCGAAGTCGTAAGGAAAATTTCTGCAACACCTAAATTCGAAGACTGATTATTTCGCGTCCCTTGCATATCACGGCTATAACTGTTAGAGACCATCGTGCGTGTGTAGTTTGTGTTTCTGTCACACCAGGTGGCAGTTGTTTTTCCGAACGGCTGGTGAGATCCAGCGCCTACCTATAGGCGGCTTGTAGAATTTCCCCATTCAGGTATGTGTATGGGTAAGCAACGGCTGCGGATAGATCAACCAAAAAAAAAAAGAAGGAAATAACGCATGCATTCTCTGGGCATTATTCAGGCATTCGCCTGGTGCTGATCGGGGAAACCACGGAAAATAACCGATCAGAGTAGCCGGCAGTTCGAATGCTCCTCCATACAGCGGCTGAATTTGACACTTGCTGTGTAGCTAGTGTCGAAATGGAATTGATTCGTTTGTCGAAATCATAGTGTCGAAATCGTTTATAATGTTAAGTTTTATTGCATGAGTATCCGTTTTATCAACGAGCGACCTTAGGAGCACGTTTTCACATTTGTATAAAAACAATAATGCAAAAATTATAAACGAGTTTGCATACACTATTTTTTGTACGACAGCATTATAAATGTATAAGATATTCAAATTTAATTTTGCGAAACAATTCTCTTATGGTGTCCCTGGGATTTGGTACGAGCAAACGTGATAGGCTGTTGCGTTCACCGCGACCTCCCGTCGAATCTCTGCTGCGACTGACTAAATGTGTGATGACGCAATCAATGGTGCTTTAAACCTAATAAGTCATCAATTGTGCCATAAAATACCCGATTTTTAACGGTTTCTTGCAAAAGAAAAGGTCGTTTATATTGCTGGCTTACATACAAAAAACTATTATTACATAACTATTACAAAGGGTGAGACAGTACGTATTGTATTAGCACCACTAGTTTAACTTTTCAGCCAGCTCAATAACGCAATTTCACAAACAAACCTGTACACTTAAGTAGCAGCAACGACAATTATTTCCCACAATATTAATAAATAGGTACAACTAGACAAAATGGTTCTCTGAATGCTTGCAATTTGTTGAAATTAAATGTTCAACTATTATTGATTCTCCTTGCTTGCTTCTTGTCACCAGAATTAAATTGTATCGTTTATCCAGAACACTTTTTAGCTTCTTAGCTGTAAATGTGTTCCGACACAGAGGGCGAACGAGGAGGCGAGCGAGGGCGAGCGAGGGCAAGCGAGGAGGGCGAGCGATGAGGGCGAGCGATGGGGGCGAGCGAGGGCGAGCGAGAGGGCGAGCGAGAGGGCGAGCAAGAGGGCGAGCGAGAGGGCGAGCGAGAGGGCGAGCGAGAGGGTGAGCGAGAGGGTGAGCGAGAGGGCGAGCGAGGGCGAGCGAGGGCGAGCGAGGGGGCGAGCGAGGGCGAGCGAGGGCGAGCGAGGGCGAGCGAGGGGGCAGGCGACGGGGCGAGCGAGGGGGCGAGCGAGGGCAAGCGAGGAGGTCGAGCGATGGGGGCGAGCGAGGGGGCGAGCGAGGGGGCGAGCGAGGGGGCAGGCGACGGGGCGAGCGAGGGGGCGAGCGAGGGCGAGTACTGACCGGGAGGGGAGATGAGGCGCATTGCCCACCACCAGGTGAAGGCGCTCACCACCACCATCAGCGTCACCCCCAAGGTGCCCCAGCGCAGCAGGCGCCGCGTCTCGGGCGCGCACGCGACGGGCACTGGCTCCCTGCAAACGCCGCGCACTCTCCTCTCGGAACGGCCCATCACTATGCGATCAAGAGTATCCACACAATGGTTATTTGGTGTGGTTTCATAGAGGGTGTTTGCACCCCCCGTTGTTTTGTGTAGCACTTTCACGGAACAAGTCTACGTACGTTGATGATTTTATCACCTTCTTGTCTCCCACTCATGAAGAGCAATTCGGGGATGGAGATTGCATCTTTCAACACAATCGAGCACCTGTTCATACTGCACGGTCTGTGGCGGGGTGGTTACACAACCATGGCATCCTTGTAATGGTCTGACCTGCACAGAGACCTGACTTGAATCCTATCGAACGCCTTTGGGATGTTTTGGAACGCCGTCTTCGTGCCAGGCCTCACCGACCCACATCGATACCTCTTCTCAGTGCAGCATTCTGTGAAGAACGGGCTACCATTCCTCAAGAAACTTTCCAGCACCTGATTGAAAGTATGCCTGCGAGAGTGGAAGCTGTCATCAAGGCTAAGGGTAGGCACACACCCTATTGAATTCCATCATTGCCGATGGAGGGTGCCACGAAGTGGTGAGGCATTTTCAGCATCAATTATCCACTTTCCGGATACTTTTGGCCACGTAGAGTAGTTTAGTCTGGACAGCGTTGGGACCATCACAAAAGGTTAACATAATTACGGTGGGAATGGGATATTTGGGACCATCATTACTTGAAAAGGAACTAAAGGAGTTTGATATGAAGGTGAGAAACAAATCTAAATAAAATGTTTAATAAAAACCTTTGCAGGCTTTTCGAGACATTCTTGCTTTTAATTTTTCTAGTGAACTCTAAAAATACGTCAAACAACTCAAACAATTAAAAAAAATTTACATAATATTATTTAAAGATCTATTTTCAAGAATAGATTTTATTACGAAAAAATGGAGTATTTGAAAGTCTCCTAACAAAATTTTAACTTTTGCATAACTTGAATATATTGAAGATAATTCAATAAAAATCTAAAACTGCTTCAGTTTTACAAGCGTATTTTGCTCTATTCGAGGAGAAAATTGAAACACTTTTTCAAGAAATTTTTTAAAATGTTGGATAGGCGACATCAGACAGATCCATTTGGTAACTTCAATTTTGTGAAAATCATCGCAAGGATTTAGCCGCTAACGTTCCAAGACAGGCGGACAGACGTTTTGCTGCAAACCAATTTTTCGGTATCGAATAGCTACAAAACATCGATACTCATTACACAACGTGTTAAAGTTGTTTCTACGCTTACGAGTAACAATTATCCACTTTTTCGGAATCAAGAACCACAAAAGGGTTTTTTTCGTCGAAAAATCTAAGTTTTTTGCCACAGCTTTACAATATTCTTTATTATTCAATCTTTATTACGTAAGTATTATGCGTGAAAGTAAAAATTAGATTCGCGACATCAACAAGAAAACATAGATGTTTCTAAACATCGATGTCAATAAAACACCAACCTCAAACTATTGATGGAATTAAACATTGATTTTTTTAAATGGATAAGCAAGCATTGAAATTAACGCGGCGGGAAGCGTATTTAATTTTAAAGTTGTCTGGATTACTCATTTTAATTGAGATTCAACTGACAAAAACACAAGCAAAAATCATTGGGACATTCAATAAAATTTGGATTATCTAGTTAAGAAATTACAGATGCCTCTTTATTGATGAAAATTCCATTTTATTTATTTTTCATTCTTATCCAGTTTGATCTGAAGAATATTCAATTTATGGATGTATAAAAAAATATTATTGAATGTATTTATTATGAAATTTTTCATTTAAAAAACATCGGACACGTAAAAACATCGACTTCAAAAAATCAGCTTCAAAAAATCGATGTTAGATACATCGATCATTTTATAAACATATTGATGTAGCATCCCTAGGAAAAATTGCCCGTTCGAAGAACAGGCTGTGCTAGTAAATTAATACTATCACCAGACTCAGAAAATATGGCTGTTTTATGATTATGTACAGGTCAAGCTGGTGTTAGAAGAAACTCACTCTCTCTCTCTCTCTCTCTCTCTCTCTCTCTCGCGCGCGCGCGCGCGCTCTCTCTCTCTCTCTCGCTCTCTCTCTCGCTCTCTCTCTATCTCGCTCTCTCACTCTCTCTCTCTCTCGCTCTCTCTCTCGCTTAAAGAAATCGATTCTATACCTGCGATGTTCGACAGTGCTGGCGCTGGATGTTTGGCTCCCCTGACGATGCATCGTTGGTAGATATTCACAGAACACGTAAAGCTTGCATCAGTGGCGTATGTGGTCTGGAACAACAAAGATAACGCAAGCTGATGTATCATATAATTCACTGAAACGTATTCCTTTTACATTTCTAAACAGTGCCTATACTCTCAACCACGCTCAAAATCTCTTTGTATATATTGTACTATAAATATTCTACGTCAAAAGCGGACATAATTGAACTGGTAGAATATTTCACAATTACTGGTAGCAAACTCACTAACCAAATTAAAAAAAACAATATCCATAAATCTCTAATATCAAGAATTTTGGTCTTCTTTGGACCTCAAATATAGAATCAATTACCGATAACACTGAAAAATAGTTAGTTCCTGAATATTTTGAAACACAAGATAAAGATTTTGATTTTAAAACGTGATAATGATATAAACAAGTTTACTAAAAATTGCATTAAAACTGTTTGTTGTGTAAATTTAAGTATTAATTTATTTATGGAGTTATTTGTCTATGGAAATATACCTATTATATCTCTTTACATTTTCACGTATTTAATGTTTGAGGTTTTTTATATTTTTGGTATGTTCACAAATACTTGGGTTGTAAATAAAAAAATAATAATATTAAAAAATAATGCCACACAAAAATACTACGAAGAAGTAGACAGATAGTAAATTATAAACCCAGTATTGCTAAACACTAACAGGTTATCGGGGGTTAGTAATTCCAAGAAACTACAATGTACATTATCTCTGTAAAGTATCTCTTCGATATGGTGCATCGACATACGATATGTAAAATAATGAATAAAAAAGTCTTTCCACTACATTTAATTGAAGTAATCAAATCCTTATACCACAGAACTATAAATGTATTGGATTTAAATGGAAAACTATTCGAGGAATTTAAAATTAATCGAGGTGTTAGACAAGGTTGTAAACTGTCACCCAGTTTTTTTAATATTTATATAGACGACTTTCTGAGAGAATGGAAACAGTGTATTACAGATGGCATGGAGATAAACTCCGAAACCACTCTAAATACTTTATTATTTGCAGACGATCAGATAATTATCCAAGAAAGTGAGGATCGGTTACAGAGAGCTCTCTGTAAACTAAATAACATATGTGAACGATATAACTGGAGAATGTCAACTCAAAAATCTAAAGTAATGGCATTTATAGGCAAACATTCTATAAGAAGTAAGATAATAATAAATAATAATGTTACAGAACAAGTTAGTCATTTTAGATATTTGGGATGTGATATTACTTTTGAATTCAAAAAAAATATTTCAATAAAAATCCAAAGATTCCCAAACATCTTTGGAACAATAATAAAATGTCTGAGAAACAAAATAAGAACGAAACAACTTGAATTTTATAAAACAATGGCTATTCCCATACTTCTTTAAGGGTGTGAGCCATGAAAAAGAAAGATTTTACCAGAATTCAGACGCCTGAGATAAGGTTCTTGAGATAATTCAAAGGCTGCACTATATTAGACAAACTAAAATATGCGATAATCTGAGAAGAATTAGAAGTGCTCCCATTATTAAATAAAGTACATGAATACGGGAGCCGATGGTCCCAACATCTACACAGAATGAGTACTGACCGCATCCCCAAACAAGTATATCACTACGAGACCTCATGGTAAAAGTGATGCCGGCCGTCCAAGATTAAGATGGCATGCTGAAGACGGAACAGGAGACTCTCCTAATCCCTCAAGAGATGATGATGATGATTATTAAATTAATTGTAAATTAGCTATTATGTAGGTAGTGTTTACCAGGCTAACCTTAGGAATTATATTTCAAGGTTATTTATTACACTTTACTGAATTGTGAAAATATTGCAATTGTGCACATCTTTGAATGACTTTGCATGTCCAATAAGTAGAATAAATAATATTTTAAAAAAAAAGATTCCATTAATCGCTCTTTGCAGTATTAACCCAGAGAGGTATTGAATAAGGAGGAATCTCCCAGCTCTGCCCCCAAGCAGAGACTACGATCTCCAACAGCGGAGATCGGTCGTGTGCAGGTGAGTCGGCGAACAATTTCGCCACCAGCTTCGACCTCATGTGGCCAACATTTCGGCTGAGCGTCCACCGCATGGAGGCGATAGAATTTATTAATTCAACGTCAAAAACCAGTTAAAAAATGCGTGTGACGGTCTACGGAGAGAAGTATACTCTGTAGCATAACACGTGTTATGAATACAAGTAGCAAGAGCGTTTTGGCAAGAATTGAAAAAAAATATATACGCACCTCTCTAATAAAAACGAAAGAGACAAATCCGCCATATATTTTGACTGCTATCCCTTTAAGTGTCCTTCGTGAAGGAATCGACTTATCGCGAGGACATGGAGAACGAGTAATTTCATAACTAAATTTCCCACCCTAGAAGACGTCCACTGATAATGAAGTTTGTAACAATGTTCAGAAGCAAAACAAGGAGCCATCTCAGAATTCGCTCAAAGCTTGAGGAAAACTGAACGAAAACCTAATCGAAATGGGGATTATTGACTCTGAATATGAGGTACGATACTTGTTACAGGCATAGTTAGACTTTTAGATTTATACAGTAGAAATGATAACTAATTCATTAAGATCTAAATTCATGATGAAAATCTAAATTCATTAAATATTACCAATACCTTCTCATACATTACGTTAAATATTATATAAGTGCGAACACCAATGTGTTTCTACCAAATTTCATGTTCTGAAGAAGGATGATTGTGTGCAATGCAAAGTTAGCAACGTTTTGCGTTTTTTTAAATTAGTGTGGAGATTTTTCCATTTATAACATTGTAGAGGCATATATGTAACAAAAATCGAACAATCACCGACGAGAAACGATCCTTAAAAACACAATTTTATGTTTCTTGCGAAAATTGCGATAAAGCTCTCATTCAGATATTCTACAATTTGTCTCAAAAGTTTGAAAAGAGAAAACTGCAACGTACGTGCCACATATGTTTGATGCTGGGGTTGATGTGAGAAATGGTATAACGTCGCCAACCGTCTATGAGATGCTTAAGAAATTTTGTGCACCTCTGCTTTACACACACACAACCTAAACACTTACGTGATTGTATTTCTGTCACTATGTTGCTAATGTTGGTCACTCTGCAAAACACCAGGATCGTCGCTACTGTTTGATGAATTTTAGAAACAGAACTCATTTACAAACGCAGAGGAGTATTCAACACACGGTTAGTTTTGACTTGTTCGCAAAATGGATTTATGCTCTGGTTTTCGTTTATACAATTTGGCTTCGTGGTAGATTGGACTTATGCATTTTTTTCTACAAAAGTGTGCATATAAAATAATTCATGACTTTCCATTTCTTGTTGTCATGGCAAAATGAATCAACAGAACTAACTAGAGCTAAGACGTCAAGAAACGACGAGACACTGTTTTACTGAACTTTCAAAATATATGGCAGCTTTTCTCAAGCAGTGCGCCAAACCATCTTATAGAAATGTGTTTTTACAGAATGTGTTTCACATATTGCCGCATTAAACCGGCAGTGGGAATGGCAGTTGGGTCTATCGGACTCAGTGCCATCTTTAAAGCGGTATATTAAGTGAAGGAAATTAGTTTTTAACTTATCCACCTATCTACCTTCAAATTGAATCCTACCGAACAGATGACGAATATCAGTTTGAGTTTATCACAAAAACGTGGTGTGCTTTTCCCGTTTAAAGTTGTTGATACCCAACGTTCCCGTTTAAGTACCACTTTTACATAACAGGTTATCTAAGAGTTATTTTAATGCATTCAGAAAGATATAGAATTAATAAATAAGCATTGAGAAAATAATGATTGTTTAATCATTGTTTAATCTTGTAAGAAATATATTTATTTATTTCCATTCTTTACAGAAATAAGTCGATATTTTATGGTCAGGAAATGCTAACTATTTCAAAATTTTGTAAATCATATAACATTTTCTCGGAAAGATAAAAAAAAGCCGAAAAATTATTACAAAAAATGCTTTGATAAAAAATATTATACAACTTAAAAAACATTGCAAAAATGACCCCACTATGTTTGTTTTGAGTAATGCAGACATTCTGTTAATATTGCGGTGATTAACTTAATGCCACATTTTCAATTTTATTTTCTGTACTCTGAACTGAGATTTGCGAAGAAAATCGGGATATATTTTGAGCTTTAGAGATAAGATTTATTGAAGATATGATGTATTTGCATCTTTTAGTTCGTATTAAAAATATTTGTGTAATTAATCAGAGTTTTAAAGAGCCTATAATAACAAGCGGCTCCTTTAGACCCAACCTTCCCACTGACGTAAGGAGTTTTCACGGTCCCACCGCTGGATTAAAGGGTGTAGTTAATAGACTCGGCATATCTGCGTGTTTTGAGAAAATGAATAGTTCAATACTTTGATATTTCACTTGTACATTAATCACGAGGAACTTCCCGAAATCTTTTCCAATGAGTTTTTTACCTTTCATTTCTCATTCACCTTCGTGTCTAGATCTTCAAGATAATTTTAATAAATTTAAATACAATTTATATGAAAGATTTTTGTTTATTAAAAATTAAAAATCCCCTCTATTTATATGGATGGCCTAAACATAATTATACATGATAGCCAATTTGAAATTCGACGCCTCCAAAATCGTCTGATGGAATTAATTATTATTGTACAGTTAGCACTTTAAAAAATTAAAAAGTGCATATATTAACTTTAATTTTCTGTAAAAGGGCTCAGGCGCTAGAGAGTGCTGAAAAGTAAATGAAATATTGGCATTTTTAAATGATTAACATTCCGATACTCGCGGTGTTTAATCACGTATTTTCGAAATCCAGCCTTTTGTAACCAAAACAAGACGGGAACAACAAAAGTGAAGAAACAAAAAGTCCCACAAAATACAATATGTTGAACATTTTTACCCACAAAATACAATATGTTGAACATGTTTACCATCAATATTGTTTGCTACCTATTTATAAAACCAATTACATTTATTTCTCCACGCACATCAATACAGCCAGGGTTCCGTACGGATCATTTCTATAAAGTGTTTC